ATTACACATATAGGGACAAATTTCTGCCATTTATTTTATTTTGCACCTGTAACTGTCCTTTCTAAGGCTTCTTTCACGTTTTCACTCTTTTTCTTCTTTTGTATGGATTAGTTTCCCCCCCCTTCCCTCTGCATCTGGGGGGAAGTCACTTAAGTAAAGTCTTTTCTGTCAGCGGTCACTTTGATATTTTAACACATAAAGTCTAAATTCCGTAGCTTTGCCTCTTCTGGCACAACACAGTGACCGACAGGAAGCTCGAATTCCCCTGGATCCATCTGAAGCATACGTCTGCTATGTTTGTCCATTTGTTCTGTTCTGTTAATCCCATAAATTAGACAGCCTTGATGTTGACTTTACAGACAACTGTTGCTTTCGTTTACCTAAATGTTTACATTTTAATGGAGTCACAACCATCAGTATTTCCTCGGCCTTTTCTTATGTGAATGAAACAAGCCCCCCTGTCCTGCATCTCTGGTCTTCCCTTCACAATCACTGTCCTCCTGAAGGGCGAAGACTGTTGGTCACAGCTGTTTGTCTGAAAATGCTCGGATTTAGGTCCTTGGAAGATGCTCTTAAGACAGAAGCCTGGCTTGACAATTATTTCATCGCACCATCACCTTCTGGCTTCCAGGGCGGCTGGTGAGACGTCCCTGCACCTTCTTTCTTGCTTCCTTTTCTGACTACTTTGGAGATTTACTTTTGGTCTTGATGTTACGTGGTTTTACCTTGATATGTATAAAGTGGATTTCTTTTTATTTATCTTGTTTGGGATTTGTTGGGATTCCTGAATGTGAGGACTGGCTTCTTTTATTAATTCTGAGAAATTCTCAGTGCCTATCTTGTAGAATCTTCCCTCACTCCTTGTGATGACCTCTTCTTGGGACTTCGATGGGATGAAAATGCAGATTCTGCCTCTTAAGAGCGGCAGGCTGGGAGGAGGAAGCCAGGCCCAATGGCTCTCCCGCTGACCCAATGGCTCAGTGGGAGAGTGAGCGGGTTCACCCGGGGTGAGGGCAGGGAGACAGGGAAGACCTAAGGCAAGCTGGCCTCCTGCTTTTCCCACCCTGGGAGGTCGAGGTCCAGTGTGTGGGTACCTCCCCACCACCCCGAGCTGCAGGATCTTGAGGAGAGAGCAGAGCCAAGGTGAGGCCCAGCAGCCGGGCGGCCTGAGAGTGCTGCCTACTCTCCCCGTTTCCACTGCGAGGTGTCAGGAGCGGCCTCTGCGCCATCTCCACGGGGATCTAGAGGAGGTGACTGGTGGTCATCAGGGGAGTTCCTGCACTCACAGTGACATGTGAGTGGACAGCTAGGAAACATCTTCCACTCAGGACTTAATGTGCATCTTCCCTCTTTTACTTCTGTTCCGACTCCCGTGTTACCGTCTCCCGCTACTTACTCTGAAGAACACGCTTCCTGGAACCACGGGTTATGTGCACCGCCGCTGGAAGCCAGTGGCTCTTTAGCTCGGGCAGTGAGCTTCTGCGGCGACCACTTCCTTGTGTGAAACCGGGTGGCTGTCCTGACTGCTGGCCTGCAGTCAGTGCCAGGTGCAGGCGAAGGGGCGGAGGTGGCAAACCCTTTGTCGTCACCTCTAACAAACGGCTTAGTTTCTGCTTGCTTCCAGTGCCCCTTACATGAGGGTGTGTTACGGAGAGAGTGACTTGGATGCTCTGAAGACCAGCAAAGAAGAATCACACGTGGGGGTCGGCTTGGAGCTGACTCATCCCTCCCATGTGATCACATCGAGCAAGTGAAGAGACACAGGTACTGGGTGGGCAGGAGGACGGGGCGGTTCCCACGTCCAAGTCCCTGCTGCCTCCCCTGCCACGTCTGAAGCCACGAGGACCTGGGCGGGCTGCGTGGAGGTCAGGGGCAGCCGCCCAGGGGCTGCGGTGGCCAGGCCATGGCTGGGGCCATCCTCCCCACACCCAGCGTCCTGGTGCCTCTCCTGGGCAAGTCCAGGAGGATTCGGGTAAAACAACCGAGTGGCAGCGCAACCCTGCAGGGAAACTGGTGAGTCTCCAGGGAGGGTGAACCAGAATGTGCTCATCAACACCAGGCACAGAAAAAACACATACAGTTTAGTTCTAGATAAAGTAACACTCAGCTCTAAGGAACATGTTTTCTCAGTCTGTGATTCGGGTCACAGGCCGCTGGAAGATCCTTTGCTGTGTGTCAGCCACCATGGCTCAAGCATTTAAACCGCATTCACTTATGTTATAAAGTAAAGTAGTGTTTCCTACCATTATTATATCTGAGTTCTAAGAAACAAAACCCTTAAAGTCCCTACTGAATACTAAGCTCAGATTAAAGTTGCCTTCCTGGCCATAATCACCGATGTCACCACACAGTTGTTTTATTTTTGTTTTGGATGGAGTGTCAACATGATTGTCCAGTCTTCAATATCACGAGCCTGCAAGCCACGCACTTCTCAGACTTCCCACTACTGAGTCCCAGCAGCTGCCTGGCCCCTGCGGCCAGTCTACACAGCGGAGGGTCCCGCACAGAGAGCTGTTTCCTAAGAAGAGCCGAGTATCTCGGGTCTCTACCAAATGTAATGAGGCAATTATGCAATAGTTAGTTATAAGTCAGTTTAACCAATCTGAGAAAAAAACCTGCGAAACAACCCACCTTGAAGAGATTCTGAGAAAATCACTTGGAAAGACACAACAACCAATTAATATAAAAACCAATCAGCCAGACTGAAGTGTGCCCGCCCACAACCCTGGGAACTTCAAGCCAGAAACACTTCTCTGTCAGCTCAGAGGCTGCAGGAAACCTCAGGCCTTTGTTGATGGGTCTGTGGCTCCTGCCTCAACCTCAGAGCTGTTCTCTGGGGCCAACTGCCCTTTACTAGGGGGCCAGACCCCTGTGTTCCTGAGTTTTCAAAAAGCCAACGGGCCAGGTTTTCCAATCAGCTCTTGTACTTCTAGTGGCACAAGACCATCTGGCCCCATGTTAAATGAAGACTGTGCCATCCCAGGAATTAGGCCTGTGACCCACTTGGCTTCCGTTCTGCTTGCCCATCACCCCCAGGCAGGGCTGTCCGTCCGTGGGGGGCCGTGGAGCCTACCATCGCAGTGCGCGACCCACCCCCTCGAGCGCTTACACTCTGCACGGCATTCCTGCGCTGGGGACGGGCCACCCCTTCTCCCAGGCTCTAAAACCTGCATCCCCTCAGTCACAGTTGGCAGTCGCCCAGATGATGATGGACGGGGGTGTCACCCACCTGGAGCTACGGGGTCTGCCCCTGCCTGCTGTGGGGGGTCTTGCAGACCGACCTCCACTGCTCCCTCATTTTCTTCGGCAATGCTGTCAACCTCCTTACGGTGGAAGGATTTTAACTTTTTCTTAAAGCTGCCGATGGTTCTTTTGAGGAGGCTGAGTGGGTTCACACCTTCACCACCTTCCCCACTCCTGGGATCTCTAAGAAACTCACAGCAGAATGAAGAACATCCCTGATACCATGTAACAGTCTGTGGGGGTCACTAGCAGAGGCCAGGCTTTGACACGTGTCCTCAAGGGGGACGGGGAGGTGGCTATGCGCTCAGGTGAGCAGGTGGGGGATGGGAGTGAGCAGGTGGACAGAACTGGTGTCACCCCACCAACCAGCTGAGCGCGGACGGCTGTGTCCCTGCCCGGCTTCTATCCAACAAGGAGCGAGGGCCCTCGCAGCACGTCCTGGGCAGGAGAAGGACAGCTTCATGAGTGGGGGCCGCGGGCAGATATGGGACAGGTGACTTAGTGCTAAGGCAGTTACCACCTAAACCCAGGAACCACTGAAAACGGCCTCGGGGTCATGCCTGGGGCGGGGAGAGCCTCCTGCTCAGCAGACTGCCCTTGAGGATCCTTGCCAGGATCTCCTCTCTGCTCTGAGGAGAGTTCCCTGCCATGGTAGTGACCTGAATCCCCACGCCCCCCACGCTCTTATTTAGCCTCGCTTCATTTCTAAAAGCCCTTGCCTGCTCTGCCCGTACGTCTCACTGCCCACGCCCGTGCCCGCCCAGTTCAAACGCATGGGGTTTGCAGAAGAGGCGAGCACCTGTCAGCCTGGCGGCACCTCCCAGACACGAGTCTCAGATCACAGAGAACACAGGCCGGAAACACTTTCTCGGTAGAGGCCGCGAAGCTCGGTGATTTTCACAACGATTTAGAGAAGAAAAAGGCTTCTCACAATGAACTCTGGGTTTGCTGCGGCTGCTGATGCCCAGCTTGGCCTTCTTGCCCTGGCCTGGTCCCCCTTCCCTCCCTTCCCGACCAGCTCCTGCAGGCCTTCTGGCCCCGTGCCAGGCGCGCGTCTAGGTCCCTGTGCAGGAACGACCTTGGACCACAGCTGCTGCCCTGTAGCTGCTGCACATCGTCCCCTCGGTCCCTGGGCCCCCGCACGGTGCATTTTCGGGCCTCCCCATCCTCAACGCTGATACCATCCTCAGACCGTGACGCACTCAGGGACGGCTGAGCAGGCCCCACGGCGGAGCGCGGCTTCAACGCTACAGTGAAAACCAAGGCCCCTTCTGCTGGCTTTTGTTCTCGGGGTGGGGGGCGTGGGGGTGCTGAAAGTGTCGTGAGGCTCCGGAAAGTGTAGCTTTACCGGATGTCCTAACATCCTCTCCAGCATCTCTTGGAGCACCTGTCTGATAGCGCGTCGCCTGACTTCTCAGGTGGGCGTAGGGAACCCCGTGGTCCCTGCCCGCTGGGGCGGGTGCCATGGGCAAAGCAGCCTTGTGGCCACCGCCCAAGGCCTTGTGTGCGGAGGAAAGCCCCAGAGTGCAGCAACAGTGGGAACAATTTGACATCAGGCCAAGTCCTCCACACAAGTAGAATTAGTGCTAAGAGGTTAAAGGTTATTCAAGGTCATATGGATACGACACAGGGCGGGAACACTGAGAGAACGGTATTAATATTATTGTGTAATATTAATATTAGTAGCAAGTAACAGAGGCATGCAGGGGGTAACGGTGATGAGAAGAGAAGGCCAGGGAGGCAGAGTGGAGACTCACATCTGGGTGGGGGATGGCGTACTGTCCCTGGATCGTGTAGGCCTAGAAAGAGAGAGACACTGTCAGCTCGGGAAGCGGCCAGCCACACTTGTGCCCACCAGCAGCTCTCCCCTGGGAACAAGGGCTTTCTCAGGGCTGGGACTTCTCGCGAACAGGCCCAAGGCCCCGTGGTCAGAGCTTCCTCCCAGAGCGCGTCCCCACCTGCCCCCCGTAGCTTAGGGCACCGGGAGGTGCAGACTGGGGGCGTCCTGGCTCCAGGCCTCACCGGTGTCCGCGGGTGGCTGGAGCTACAACCAGACGCATAAGCCAGGGGAGCTACAGCCCATTCGCTGGACAGCTGCGGGCTCGGACACTGGCCAGTCAGCGGGGAGGGCGAAGAGGCTCCCCACTCCCCCGGGGCTCTTAAAAGAAAACCCCTGCAAAGGATCCCACCCTGTTACAGACTCACTAATTGTTAACCTTTTGAAATTTCATCAGCTTTCAGAGTCAACACTTTTACAAAGTATTTAACCCCAAACCCAACAAAGGACCTTTAAAAGGTGACAAGACCAATTTTGTGAAAGCAGATGAAGAAATGTGCCCAAATCAGTCACAAGAGGGACCGACTTGTCTTGCAGCCTCAGAGGGCCACGCAGCTATTCTCATGGGGGGCTGCACGCGCACGGCACCGCTCCCGGGGGGCCAGTGTGGGTCCCTGGGGCTTCACCCTCAAGACAGTGACTCAGACCAGCCACAGCTCGAGTGTGGGCCCCGTGCCTCCTCCCCCCACCTGTCCCCTCCTGCCTCAACAGTCCACCAGCTACGCTGCTCCCAGAAACTCACGGCCAAAACCAAACGAACCACAAGGTGTCAAGGGAGAGTAAAGACCAAAGACTTGCTGTCGGGCCTCACATGCTGTGATGTGGAACGTGCCACAACCAGCCCTGGACAGCCACATTTGAGGCCCCAGCTTGGGTGGCACAGGTGTGGAGGGACATGGCTTCTGGCACTTGGCCATGTGGGTTCCCGTGCCACAACCTGAGTGGACACGTGACGCCCACCTGTGTCTGCACGTGTGCACCCAAGAGGGAAACCCCAGGTCAGTCTGAGTGTCGCTTCCGTGGACTTCACACCGAGGGATGGTGTCCAAGGTTCTGGCAAACCACATCTTTTGAATCTGCCAAGAGTTGTCATAAACAACCCAACCTGGGAGTTAAAGGTCAGCCAGGCACTTGACGGGGACCACCGGAGGCGAGGCCCCAGTCTGGGGCAGGGTCCGCCAATGGCGTTCCATGGAGAAGTAAAGGGATCTTATCAGATGCAGCAAGTGTCCGAGTGGGCGCACCCCCCCGCCCCGTACTTCTGGACACAGAGCCGCGAGGCCTCGTCTTTAGGTTTTGTGGAGATGCCACCAGGCAGGTCTGTGAAGGTCGGGGCCTGTTGCCCTCACGGCCCCGCATGTCCGAGTGAATTGCGCACACTTCCTGACAGTGCAATTCTTCATCCCAGACGTTTCTGACTTATCTTTTACTCACGTAGGTAATTCTTAATCCTACTTGCGTGTGGGCAGTTTACCAGGCTCTCTGGATGGCAGTAATAGCTAGACAGATGAAGGTTCCGTCTGGATGAAACCCACCCCCTCTGTGAGCTGCCTGAAAGGCAGGGCTGGTGCTCCCGGGCGGGCCCCCACAGCGAGGGGCGCCTCTGGAGGTCACTCAGGGAGAGGGGCGCAGGTCTCTCAGGTCTAGGTTCTGTGGCAGTGGGGACGGATTCTGAGGGGCCCCCTTCTGCACTAAATCCCACTCACACCCCACTGCTCAGCGTGTGCTGTGGTTCTTCTGTCCCCACGCAACCGGGGAGAGCCACTGGTGAGACCTCGCTGTCCTCGGGGCACAGGTGCAGATGACGGCCAGGGCCGGGGCTTGCTGGGCGGGGCCTGTGGGGCCTCCCTTTTGAATAAAGACCTGCGCTCTCCCACATGGTGCCGCTGTGGGTTTGTCCACGTGTCAGGGGAAAGGACACAGTGCTCTGCACAGGGCCCCACTGTGTCTGTTCCCCTGCCTCCTCTGGCCTTGCCTTCTGACCTGTAAAATGGGGGCGTGCCCACCTCTTGGGGCTGCAACAGGAGGGAGCAGGGACATGAAGGGTCCACACAGAGGGCAGGGCTGCTGGGAGACTGCAGAGGTGAGGAGGCTGGGAGGGAGGCCCACAGCGGATATGCCTGAGGAAGCCAGGCACCGTGGACAGCGGCCTGCCCTGAAACACGCAGGCCCCGTGGGGGGTCCCTCCCTGTGGGAAGAGGCCCACAAGCTGCTCTTGGAAATGCAGGCCCCAGCCTCTCATCTAACATGTGAAGTCAACCTGCAGGATCTGATAAGATTCCTTTAACATGTGGATAAATTTTTATTTGCTGCTTTGTTAATGATAAAATCATGATCACTCTTGCCTGACCTGGGTCACCTCTGGGAACTGCCCGTCTTCACTCTCCCTCGAACAAGGACACACGTCACCGCCAACTGGACGCAGAGCTCCTCCAGGCACCACTGGCTGGGCATCTTCCAGGGCCCTCTACCCACACCGTGGTGCCCCTGAGGGGTGTGGCACGGGTGCCCGATGGCAGCAGGTGGGCCCTTGTGGGGCAGTGGATACAGCCCCTCTCCTGGGCTCTCTCTAGGCCCTACTAATGAACTGCCGGCCTCAGACACAAATTTCTCTGCAACCCCTGGCCTCCCAGGCACCTTGCCGGCAGGGGAGAAAGGAGGTCAGTGGCTCTGGCCATAGCCACAGGTGTGCAAAGCAGGTGTTCCTGACCTAGCTGATGCGGGGCCTGGCAGAGTTTGAGGGCCATCGCTGTGACCGGCAAGGCTCTTGCCTGGCTGGGCACCTTTCCCTTCCCTTGCTCCCAGAAACTCCTCTGTGGAAAGTCAGGAATGTGCATTTCAGGGGAAGTGGGACCCTGTTCCTGCAGCTCCAGCTGCTTCAACTTGGAGCCACAGGGTCACCTGTAACACTCCTGGCCCTTCTACTAGGGCTTCTTAGGGACACTCAGGAGCTAGATTGGGGTGAACGTTGCACAGGCAGAACCAGGGCCCTTCTTTGTCAGGAGAAGACGCTTCCAGGGCCCAGTGTCTACGGGACGTCTGACGTGGCCCTGTGTGTGTGCGCAACCCCGTGCCCGGCAGCGGGCTGGGAGAGCTTTGCGTCCAGCGTGGGTGGGGTGGGAGACGTGCACATGACAGGGGAGAAAACCTGAGTGCACTAACGGGCAGCGGCGGGGGCTGCAGTAAGAGGCTGAGGTTGGCAGTGGAGGCCGCGAGCGGGTCGGCTCTTACCTGACCACCTGCAAAAATGACAGGGGTGGAGGCGGGCTTTGGGCGGTAGGGGATGGTGGCACCTTTCGGTGGGGACTAGGAAAAGGGACAGGAGAGGGAGAGAGAGCATTAGAGCGGCTTCCCAGTGCCAGGACCTGCTGACGGGGGCCTCCTTCCCAAGCCCACCCCTGCTGCACCACCCGCCCCGCCCTGTCCCCCAGGCTGCAGCAGCCCCAGAGGGTGGGGACACCCTGCAGCAGGAGGGCAGCCTGACAGGGACCCTCCACAGGGCCACCTCTCTCCTCCGTGTAGCCACTGCCCTAAATATGCCCCCACCTGAAGCCACAACCCCCACGGAATGTGGGGCGGGGGGCGGGGGCTCCATGGCAGTGTGCACCATCAGTTCTTGACGAGCAAGAACGGAGGCCGAGGCCCTGCCCATGTGCAGATGGACAGGTGGCTGCCTGCGGACCAGGGTGCTGTCGTTCCGCACTTGGGTCAGCCTGGCTGTTGTCCTCTGAGAAAATCTCCCTCCCTCTCTCCCATGTTCAGGGGAAAAGCCAGGCTTTATGGGAGGCTTGGCCATGGGGGCTCGTGCCCAGTGCCCCAAAGGCTTCGCAGGGCCAGTCTTGTGATGCTCAGTAGGCATCATCACAGGACAGCTAGAAACATCCAATTTCACTATTCATAAAAAGAAGCAACTTTTTAAAAAAGCTTAGAGTCCAAATTCAGTATTTTATAGTCATGATGAGCTTTGCTATAATTTCCTTTGCTTATTCTGTGCCCCAAAGTATAGGATTTTTATCTTCGGGTGAATGATATTCTCAAGTACCAGAAGTCAGCCCGATTCTGATTGAGTCGACTGAACTCCTTGGTCAGAGGCAATCAGGGTCCGCCCTTGTCCGGACACACGGCGGTCTTCCCTGGGAGCAGAAGCCACAGGGCTGGCCTGGGTCAGCAACACCACCAGCCAGAGGCAGAGGGTGGGGGCCAGGACAGCCTGTCCCTGCTGGGAGGTCTTGAGACCATGGTGCGCTCAGCCCAAGCCCATACCCTGGGGCTTTGGGTATCACCTCTTTGTGCACCCCCCCCCCCCCACCGAGAGACACAAAGCAACGTGGGGCAGGCTCAGCACACCAGGTGGCAGCTTCAACTCTGCAGTCCAAGCCATGTTGTGTGATCATGGGCACACTGTGTGACCCTGACTCCACTGCATGACCTGGAGCACATGGTTTGACCTTGACATGCTGCCTGACTTTAGGTATGCTGTGTGACCTTGGAACACCGTGCAGCCTTGCTATAAAGCAGGAAGGGCTGCTGAGGGGCCTGCGAGCTGACCCCGTCTGGGGTGATGCTGGGCCCCCAGGGTAGGTCGGTCTTCAGTGTTCCTGCTATTTATGACCAGTTGCCTCCAGAATCATCTCTGTGCAGCCGGGGGTCACTGCGGCCTCAGAGGACACTCGGTTCATGGTGGCAGAACCATGACTAAACCGAGCTTGGGGGAGTGAGGTTCTCACCGCACCAGCAGAGAACTCAGTCCAGCTATGCCCCGTCCCTGAGCCGGGCACCTCACTCCGTGCCCTCTGGCCCCACGGACCGCAGCGCCGCATCCCACTACCATGAGCTTGTGATTCTGGCGCTCACCGATGTCCTCTAACAGGAGAGGCCCTGTGAGCACGGCGCCCCTGGTGCCCCCTGGGGTACACTGGGCACTGCCGGGCAGGCTTTGCCGCGACACCCGTGCTCTCCATGGGGCCCCACTGACCTGCCCCCACCTGAGGGCAGCCCTCGCAGAGGCCATTTCAAGGGTGTGGGGCTAAGTGCTGTATGACCGAGCTGTATGACCTTGGCCAGAGCTAAGTCTGGAAGTCCTTTAATCTTTGCTCTACTTGTCCAGCTATTCTTCACTTAAAAATGGGCCCAACCATTTCTAGGTACAGTGGCTCCCCGTCCCCCGGGGAGACAGCAGCTCTCTGACCTCTGAGAGCTTCGTGGCCCCACAGCAAGAATAAGGCATCGCCTCGGCCCTGGGTCTGCCGTTCACAGTCGCCATGAGCGCTTGCTTCACAGTTGAGTCTCACGTGAGCCTCCAGCCGGTGGGAACACAGCCCTGGGGCACCAGCACCCACAGCTAGTGGGGTCCAGCCTGTTTCTATGGGCCACGTCTGACCATGAACATGGTGCCAGCAACGCTGCTTGGGAGGAGTCCCGAGGGGACCGAGAGTCTTATTCTAACCCTTGTTTGTGTCCCTCCTGGAACTGTTCGTGTGACCTTGCACTCCGACGTGGCCGCTGCCGCTCAAGATGTGTGTGCTTCCTCGCCACCTCGGGCATCCGCCAGTGCAAGGGAGTGCACGGCCCTGTTCAGCGCATGCCCACATGGCGCTGCCGGGGTCCCAGCAGCAGGGGCCCGAAGGGAACACAGACCGGCACCAACTGTCACCATGACCAGTGGCTGGGGACCATCAGGACACCAGTATTTAGAAAAATAGTTTTGATTTCACAAAACAGTATACTTTGGGAAAAGAAATCTATGTAATTTTTTTAAAGAGCTGGATGTGGGTTTGAACACCAAACAAAGGACAAAAGGGGGGGAGCCCACAGACACCGGCCGAGGCACAGGGCCTCCCTCACGGCAGCTGCTGGAGCCTTCATCGGAGGCTGAGGTACTTCACTGCGGCTTGAAGACCAGCAACTGTGGGAGCTTCAGTGAATCCTGCTGCATTTGGGGTATTAGCTGAAATTTAAATCTCAGGTTTTTTCTCAAAAAAATTTCAAGAGAGGCTTCTGTCTTGCTCAGCTCTATCTTCTTCGCTTCTGCTTTGGTTTTAACCATTTTGTTTATTCCTCTCTGTCTTTACAATTTGGGCATTTTCGTGTGCTTTTCCTCCTTTGGTGCCTTGGTGGGGCTCTGATGCCTGTAGGCGTGGTGAGCGCGGGCCTCCTGCCTCCCCTTGCCCCATGGGCCCAGGGCAGCAGGGTGCTGTCCACCGCAGGCAGCGTGTCCAGCACAGACTTGCACCGAGGGTAAGGCCTGACCCTTTACTGGACGACCCTCCTATTGCCGACTAATGACTTCTCATTTGATTGCCTCCTGACACATCCCTTTCCCCAGCCCCCTAGCCGAGATGATGGACATGCCCGAGGGCAGGCACCCGCACACCCAGCGCGGCTGTCACTTAGGTCGCCTTGGGCCTGGGTGCGGTCTTGGGTCACGCTCTTGACCCCTGGCCCCCACACGGCCCTGACCGTGTGAATTCTCAGGGCCCCAGCCACATGCCACAGCCGACACGATGAAGCCACGGCTAAAGAAGCCACGGGTGGTGTGGCATGAGGGGTGGGCTGGCAGTGAGCCCTGGATGCCCAGACTGTACCTCCAGCATGACCACACAGATCTGCTTGACGCACTGGATGATGGCGTCAGGGGTCCCCGAGATGGTCACTGCCCGCTCTGTGGAGTTGGGCAGCATGTCCCCGGCCACCTGGACCTGGGCACCTGTGGACTGCAGAAACAAGACATTGGAAGGGGAACGGCAGGGGAGGGGGCTGGTGGTGGCGGTGGCAGCCTGCGCTGAAGCAGAGCTCCTGGGTGCTGGGGAGGGCATCATGTCGAGGGCACAGTGCATGGACACCCGCCCCAAGGGCACCATGCCTGCCTGGCACCTCAGCCCTCTGCTCGTTCCCTGGGGCCCCGTGGCGGGGCTGTGCGCCTCAGCCCGCCGCTGCCCAGCACGGCCTGGCGCAGGGACAGTGACGCTGGAGAAGAGGCGTCTTAACCTGCAAGTGGCATTTGCAGAGATGGAGACAGAACTGGAGTCACTTTTTTCAAATACTTTATCTCCCCTGTGGAGTTGTAGGTCACAGAGGAAGATGGATTCTAGAGGGGTCTAAGCTCTGTGGCTGTCTTTCTGTGACAGAATCATGACAGGGGGGCCTCTCTTCTGGGAGAGGGAAGGATTCAGGCTTTCTTTGAATAAAGGAACATAAACATAAAGTCTCTATCTCACCAGCCCTGCTGGTCTGCTCAGGCCTGGTGGGCCCTGGAGGCACCTGCCTGGGGGCAGAGACTATAGCCTAGAGCCCACATGACTGGGTGGCAGGGTGTGGCCTCCCCTGCCCCATCATGGGGGGGCACTGCCTGTCCCTGGTTGGGTTGCACAGCCCCCCATGCAGGTGCCCAGCCCCTCTGCATGACACTGTGAGTGGTGTGTGCACATTCCAGGGGCTCCTGGAGCCCGCCCTTTGCTTTCTGGATGGCCCCCCCACTGTAAGCTCCACACTGGCAGGGTTTGCAGTCCTGGGCCTCCCCGGGGGCAGGGTGAGCCTCCCAGGGGTGGGCCTTACCCACCCAGTGGCGGGGCACCAGCAGCCAGAGAAGGTTCTGTTACCTCCCTGATCTCCTTGATCTTGGAGCCGCCTTTGCCGATCAGGGACCCACACTGGCTGGCGGGGACCACCAGCCTCAGCGTCACTGGGGGCTTGCTGGTGGCAGGGCTGTTGCTCATAGAGTTAATGATGTCCTGGGGAGGGAGAAAGACACGCGTGTGGGCCTGCTGTGTACACACCAGTGAGCGCAAAGGCCAGGCTCGTGAGAAAGCAGCTGAATGTGCTCCAAGGACCGGCGGGGACCAGGGTCCCTGACCCCAGAGGCCCATGGTCAGTGGGGGCGGGGGGGGGACAAGCGTGGGAGCGTGAGCGCTCTGAATGTGTCTCTAAATAACTCGTGGCAACGTTAACAATACTGGAAACGCATGAAAACCTTGGGGTAAGTCACTGATAGAGCGCACAGTCATGCCCCAGACGTGTGAGTGTGTGCGTGTGTCTATGAGCCAGCAGCAGAGCTCCCAGGTGCAGCCTGTAGCCAAGCTCCCATGCTGGGGCAGGAGCCATGGCGGACAGCTGGGGCTCGTGCTCGAGGCTCGTGCTCGAGGCTCGTGCTCGGGCCTGTCCCCAGATGGCCAGCAGCTGGGGGAGCCCCTGGGCAGCAGAGGTGACAGGGGAGAAGAGAAGTCCTTGCAGCCAGGCAGGGCATCCCTGGTGGGCCAGGCCGTACCCACGTCCAGACACAGGGGACATGGGGCCGGAGGACCAGTGGAGACTGTGTCCTCCCCCTGCACACAGGGTCTCTGGGGGCGCATCTTACCTCCTCGAACTTGTAGGCGATCATGGCAAAGGCCTTGAAGATGGCGTCCGTGGGGCCCGTGATGGTCACAATTCTTTCCGGGCAGTTTCCCTCAGAGATGTTGATCCTGGCACCGCTCTGGAAGGAGGCGAGCACACCCAGGCCAGGGTTAGAGTCGCAGGCAGTACCGGGCTGGGTTCTCCAGGCCACAGGCAGGCCTCCACACTGCACGGTGAGGCCCCCTCCAGTGCCGTCCTTCACAGTGAGGACAGCTGCCACGCTGCACCCCCTGCAGCCCCCCACAACAGAGCCCCAGACGTGGGGGTGTGCAGGTCAGAGGGAAGGGGCCTGCTGCCACTGGGAGGTGGCCGTGGGCACAGCAGGAGCTCCCACAGGACAGGACTTCTGGCCTCCCGCCTCCCCACAAACAGGACACCACCGAGGGCCAGCCACCTCACCTCTTCACGCATCTTTTTCACAGTTTCTCCTTTCTGGAATAAAGATTCAGACAAAAGGGTGAGGCGTCACTCCGGGCTTCCGCCAGGCATGCGGAGGCTTTGGTGCAGCAGCACAGGGGGTGGGAGCACAGCCTCGTGCACCAGGTGCCCCAGGCCAGCGAGGAGCAGTCCGGGGGGGGGGGGCGGGGACGAGAGCCTGACACGCCCACAGCCCCCTGAGCCCCACCACAAGCTGGCGAGGGGCCCTTCAGAGGAGGCGCCGGGTGCTGGCCGGTCAGCTCCTGCTCTACGGTGGTGCTCATATTCCTCGTCTTCGTCACGGGCAAAGCAGGGCCAGGCCGGGGAGGCACACCCAGGGCCCTGGTGGAAAGACCTGGACTTGGAGCACAGAGGTGCCCGCTGGACACCAGGAGGCCTGGACACGGTGGGACGCCAGCCACGGGTAGGTGGCACCCTGCCCCAGCCTCTGCCACAGGCTTTCAACTCCCAGATCCGCGCTCACTTTCCCCATGGCACGCTTTTATTTTGGAGGGAGATATGAGAGACTCACCACCACACACTGGCCAGGGGCGGAGACTGCTCCGGAGAATGCCAGTGACTCACGCTCACCGGGCCCTCACACCCGGGAAGAAGGACGGGCCACAGGGCAGTGGGGCAGTGGGGGCGGGGCTGGCCGGTGACCAGCCGGGGCCTTGCCAGGCGGGGCCGCGGGATTCCACCGGAATCCTTGGTGCGTGGCGCGCACCGCGGTGTGGCTTGCCGCCCAGCGCAGGCCTGGTGGCCCTGTCACCTTGTCAGGGACCCCAGCAGAGGCAGAGTTCACTCAGTAGTTACCTTCCCGATGATGCTTCCAACTTCCTGTAGGAAAGGAATCACAGAAAGATGATGTCATAGAGCAGAAGGAGAGATGGCCATGACAGACACTGAGAGACGCACGTGTGTTGGGAGCGAGGACAGAGGGTTAGGACAGTCAGGAGGGAGTGTGGTCAGGCCACTTGTGCAAAGGCCCTGAGTCTGGGGGCTCCTGGGTGCCCGTCTGACCTCGGTTAGTCCCAGGCCCTGCCTCTGACAGACACACAGACGAGCAGAATCAGAGTGGCCGGCTCCCTACAAATAAGTTAGGAGGCACCACTTAAGGCCTCAAGAAACGCTGCAAGAAACAGATAAAACATAAAATCTCCCCCAATTTTGTGATGTAAAGGTAATTAAGCACTGCTACCGCTTTTTCACTTTTTAGGAAGTACACTATGCAAAGACACTCTTGAACACACCGCCCCAGTTCTGAAGCCTGGAGCCCATGATGGTTCAGACACACGCTCCTGGCCAGGCCTGCTCCTCATGGCACCTCCCGCCTGGGACAGGCCCCCACAGCACTATGAGCCAGCCTGCTTCTAGCCCCGGGAATGACCTTTCAAAGTCAAACTCATTTCCCTTATTACAGGGAAGTCCTCAGCAACTACAACAGTGCCGGTGAAGGCCCTAAATCCTGCCGGGCTGTGGGAGGGTGTGTGCCACAGGGGCGGCTGAGGCAGCAAAGGGCAGCTGAGCCCTCCGGCAGCCATGGCACCGCTCCTCCTGGGGCGGAGTTAGTGCCTGAGCCTGCTGTGGCCCCTGGACGTGGGGGCCCTCTGTGGTGCACTCCCAGCTTCTGACAACCTTGAGCAAATGCCACCCACATGTGGGAGAAGCAAAGCTGGTCACCGTCTCTCCATTGCAGAAAGGGATCTCTGGGTGCGAGCCCTGCCCCCCCCTGCCCCCCCCAGGGAGGGCGCCTCGCCTGGAGATCTGGGAGAAGCAGCACCACCAGCCCCAAGGCAAGGAGACCACAAGGATACCAGACACAGCCCGATGGAGGTGTGAACCCTGTGCTGTTGGGCTGGAATTGGGGGGTAGGAACTCACGGGGTCCACTCTATAAACATGGAAATAAATTTTATGCATATGTGCATATACACACACTGCGATCGTACATACACACGCATGTTCAATAAACACATTATGTGTAGATATCCCCCACACACAAGAGTCAGGGCTCTTTGGAGAAATGGCTGATTCCAGGACAACGGCAGGGAAAGCACAAGGGAGTCATGAGAGTGTTTTGTGCCAGAGAGCGAGCTAGCACTGGGTGAATGACAGCCCATGTCATGACACAGGAGCCAGCTCAGGGGGGCTCCCGGTGGCTGAGTCAGGGTCAATACGAGCATCAAAATGAGTCACGACAGCAACCGAGTCCATGAGGACATGCATGGATGAGCAGACGGATGGCCGCTGAGGGGCTCTCGCAGGGTCCGTGTGCCCCGAGCAGCACCTAACAGCAGCTCTGGGTGAAGGCCCAAGGGCTCAGTAACGGGAGGCCCTGAGATCTGCGCCCCTGACGGGAGAGCTCCTGTGACTCCCACCAACAGTGAGGAAACCTCAGAAAAGCCGCCTTGAGAAAGGGCAGGCACTTTCAGAGGTGAAACGCAAAGGAAGAGCAGGGAGACTCCTCCAGGTTGGAGACCACCAGAGACACTCTGGGATGTGGAGGCCTGACCACTCCCCCCGCCACCGCGTGTCCTGTGGTGAAGGGCAGGCTGGGATGACTGGTGACCTGAACGGGGCCCGAGGCGAGGGGCTGGGACGTACTGGTGTTGGTATCCTGATGTGGATGGGGCACTGCACCCTCGTTTGTAGGAAACACACACTAATGTGTTCAGTGACGGGCACCAGGTTGCAATGAGTCTCAAAGGGTTCCAGGAGAAATGTAATCTGGAGTGGGCTGCCATGCTTTGTCAGCTTGCGACAGCTCAGGGTTTACAATGTAGACGCCGGTGGTGGGCACGCCCTCCCTTGCCTCCCAGCTGGTCTGACACAGTGGCCTTGGGCTCCATACCTTTCCATGCATCAGCAGACGGATTGTCAGGGTCACGTTCAGGCCACCTTCTGAGACCTTTGACTCCATCTTTCTCCCAAAATGTGGCTGGGAGTAGTGGCTTAAGGTGCCGAGGGTGCCGTGAGGAAGGACAGATGGGGACCAGATGGCGTCACCTGGAAAGGGAAGGCATAGCGGCTGCTAGCTGAGAACACTGTCAATGGCCAACACAGGTCGGGGTGTCCCGGCCTGCTAGGACCTTTGGCCTCTGGGGGGTGGGTAGGCATGGGGAGGGTCCAGGTTCTCCTCCAGGCTGGATCACAAGGGACAGGTCACCCAACCACAGTGTACAGGGTGGCCTCCGAGACAGGCACCAGTGAGGATTAGAAGTGAAGGTCAGGTGGGGCCAGGGCTCGGGACGCAGCAAGGGGAGAGGGAAGGACCAGGAGAGGTTCCAGAATAGACGGGAGAGGTCTGCAGAACCAGATACTCAGACAAGCCCAGGCCCAGATGTGGGAGGCCCCATGGGCACACCAGACCTGACTGCAGGCCTGGGAAGGGATGCTTCACTCAGCAGGCAACACAGGTCATAGGGGGTGGGCTGTTTAGGTGGTCTTCCTGGGAGTGCCAGCAGTCAGGGCAGCAAATGGGAGCTGAAGAGCCACCTGCCTGGGTGCGTGGGGATGTGTCACAGTGCAGGGAAGTTGCTGGGTGCCAGGGTCCACAAGGGTCAGAGAGGAGGGGAACGAGGGCAGGATGGGACATGGGGCATGAGTGACCCCCAAGGGAGTGGCCAGTCCTAGAGGGGGTGGGTAGGCTGTGGGGCAGTGGTCACAGGGTCTGACAGCAGGGTGCTGCCGGGGGCACAGGGAGGGAAGGAGGCCTGCTTGGGGGAGATTCTGGATGACCCGGGGCCCAGGGCTTCCCAAGAGGAGCACCAGGTGGACCCCATGGAACAGAGAGTGCCACAGGCCTCTTGCAGCCTCCCGGGGGCACACCTGAGAGGTGGGTGGGGTGCCTGGGCCATGAAGGAAGGATGAGGCCTGGGGCCAACTCTGCTAGCACTCCCCACATACGACGCCATGCTTGGTCTAAGTCCCTCAGGAACAGTGCAACCTGGGCATGCCCCCCATCTGGGGGTCTGGACACCAGTCCTTTGATGTGACCTGTAAGGATGGGAGGCTCCGTCCACACACAGGAGAGACCACAAGTTAGAAAAGCAAGGTTTTCCTTTAACCTTATAGGTTTGGGGGGGCAAAATTATTTCTTTTTCCTCATCAAAATATTTCTGCTGAAAAATATGCTTCAAGGAAAATACAAAACTAAAGCACAGAATAGCACATTCTCACTGTCTGCTGGTGGTGGAGGGTGCGTGCACAGATGATAGCGGCTGACACATTTCTGTGTTAACACACACGCGCACGTGACAACGTATCCACACGTGCTGTAACAACTCAAACTACTAGTCCTCGTTACGGACTAGACAACGATGTTTTTGAACAACAAGGACTCTGACATGAAGGTCTAAGACCTAGCAAAGAAAGTTTTAAAAAACCACCCTTACATATTAATGTGGTCTATCTCCACTGCCCAACATGGAGCCACTGGCCACTTGTGGCTGTTTATGTTTGAAAGAAGAAACTCGCCGGCCGCACTTAGAGTTGACCAAGCAGCCCCATGTGGCTGGCCTCAGGCGCGGTGGTCCTGCCGGACAGCACAGGGCGTGTGGACACGGCAGCAGGTCTGGCTAGAAGGGGGCGCTCCGGACAGAGACCCCGGGCAGGAGAGGAGACATTCAAGCTCAAGGGATTGGCGTGGCACCAAATCCGCGGTGCCCCCTCCCGCATAGACACCCTGCAGCAAGCGGAGGTACCAGCACCAGTGGAGCGGACCGGGCGCCAGGCACGCTCGGATGCCAGGCCTCCTGTGTGGGGGCGGCAGGGCCCTGCAGCCATAGTTATGTAAATGTTTCCAGCCACAGCGGAGAAAGTGGGTCAGTGAGTGCCAGGGAGCTTCAGGGTCCAGGCTGTCGAATGCCATCAGTCACACAGGCCAGCAAGCTGCCACGGAGGCCGCTGCCCGCCTTCATCATGAGGCCCAGGGTGAGCAGCACAGTGCCCTCTGTAGACTGCTAGGGACAAGGAGTGGCCCTGGATGGTGGTGAAGGTCACCTGAGACTCAGCGCCCTTGACCTTGAAGAGCCCACCCTATGCCAGCCGCCAAGGGGCACCAGGCGAGTGGCTCCCCCAGGATCATGACCTCGGGTCATCCTCTGTCGGTCCTGCTGGGCCCTGGGACAGTTGTTCATCAGGGGCGGGCCCTGAGAATGCCGGGCCTACTCCCACCTTGGAGCTACCCCTGCAGCAGAGTTCAGTGGCAGCACTTGGGGTCACTCACCCAAAACCAAGCTGATGGGAAATGGTCAGAAAAAAATCTCTTTGCCAGTAAGGACCCCACCTTCTGTTCTCTGCAGTGCTGGGAAGTGAATATATTTATAATTCACCCAGCGGGAGGGAGAAGAGACACAGGCATGGTCCCCTGCCGGGCCTGGGAGGAAGCCCGCCTGTGTGGCCCTGTGTCAACACCGTGCACAGATGTGCCTCAGCTAGAATGCAGCCTGCGCCCAATTCCCACAGTCGCCACAGCTGCCACAAATCAGCCACAGCCGCCATAAATCAGCCACAGCCGCCACAAATCAGCCACAGCTGCCACAGCCGCCACAGCCAGCCACAAATCAGCCACAGCCGCCACAGCCAGCCACAAATCAGCCACAGCCGCCACAGCCAGCCACAAATCAGCCACAGTGCCATGAGCGACCACAGCACTTCTGACCCAGCCAGTCCTTCCTCCCAGTCGTCTATCCATCCATCTCTGCAGTCCTGCCTTCCAGCTACAGGCCCAAACCTGGGGGTGCAATAGCTCCTTCATTAGCAATGAAGTAATTCACCTTCATTAGCAAATCCCAACACACGGATGCAGAGTTAATTAATTCATCTTCTCTAGTTTCTCACTTCTTGCCTCATAAAGGTATTTTGTTCTATAAAATTCTTAACATGTGGCTTTAGCTGTATCCCACTAATTTTGATATTTGTGCTCTTTTTGATCATTTCAAAATACTACCAAATTTCTCTTTGATTTCTTTTTTGATTCATGGGGTATTGTGAAGTATGTTATTAAATTTTCAAATACTTAGATTTTCTAGATGTCTTTCTCCTGTTGATTCTCTGATGGTTAGAAAACGTGGCTTGTGACACCTCAGGTACGTCCTATGTCCTGAGACTTGCTTGTGGGCCAGACTGTGGTCTGTCCTGGTAACGTGGGCTCCTGTGTTGGGGTGGAAACTTCTCGAAGCCTGGATGGTACCACTGTTGGTCGTCTGCGGTCTTGTCGGGTCCCGGGGGCGCTGGGGAAGGCCCTGCCTCCTGCACTTCAAGCTCTGTCAGCAGCATCGGACCATCACGCTGTTGCCTCCGCCTGACGGACCGACGGACCCCTTTGTCATCGTGAGACACTCCTCATGTCTGGCTTCGTTCTCAGCTCTGAAATTTCTTTGTTATTAATGTAGTGACTCTCCTTCTGATTGGTGTTAGTGTATCTCCTTCCATCTTTTACCTTGAACCTATTTGTGTCTTTATATTGAAACTGAGGTTCCTGTAGGCAGCGCATGGTTGAACCTTGCCTTTTTATCTCATTCGACGATCTCTGTCTTTTAATTGGGGTGTTTCGGCCACCCCGACAGTGACATGGTGCAGTTTGGAGCTATCGTTCTACTGCTTGTTTTCTGCTTTACAATCTGTTCTTCGTTCCCGCTTCTATTGCTTTCTCCTCCACTATCTTTTGGATGAACTGCATCCCTTTTATGATTCCACTTTACTTCCTTTGTGCACTTACTAGTTATGCCCCTCTGTTGTGTTATCTGAGGGTTGCCCCGCACACACCTTCAGCTCGTCACAGTGCAGTGTCAGTGGCCTGCCCCTTAGGGCAGTGTGGGAGCACCTGACATGGGTGCTAACTGTGCCTCTGCTTCCCCTCTTGGCCTCTGCACTGTTGCTGTGGCGTACTTTGGTTCTCCTAGCTTATAAACCAGCATTCTTATGTCTGACGTAAACAGTCATCTTCTAGGGGGACGCAGATGACAAGAAACATGTCTTTCTGCTTACCCACGTGACGCTCACCCGGCCGCGTGCGGGCAGCTTTCTGCCTGCTCTCGTTTTCCTTCTACCTGAAGAACTTCCCGAAATAATTTTTGTAGTGCAAGTCCGCTGGTGATGGAGCTCCGTTTCCATGTGTTGGAAAGGTCTGTTTCCCCTTCAGCGATGAACGGGTCTCACCTGGCACAGAACTCCACGTCAGCAGTGCGCTCTTCGGGTCCCGGAGAGACCTGCCCCAGATCTCTCACCTGCACTGCTGCCCCCTGCCCCCTCGCCCCTGCTGCTGCAATCTGCCCCCTTGCCCCTGCTGCTGCCCCTTGCCTCCTCGCCTCTGCTGCCCCCTGCCTCCTCACCTCTGCTGCCCCGACCCCTCGCCTCTGCTGCCCCGACCCCTCGCCTCTGCTGCCCCGACCCCTCGCCTCTGCTGCCCCCTGCCCCCTCGCCTCTGCTGCCCCCTGCCTCCTCGCCTCTGCTGCCCCCTGCCCCCTCGCCCCTGCTGCCTCCCTGCCCCCTCGCCTCTGCTGCTGCCCCCCGACCCCTCGCCCGCTGCGTCCGTTCTCACTTCATTTCACCATCTGTAAGGACACCTTTTCACGGCACACGTAAGGATTTTCTCTTTTCACTGGCTTTGAACAACTTACTTAGCCTGTGCCTTGTTGCAGTTTCCTCATGACTTTTTGTGCTCATTGAGCTTCTTTGATTTGTGGCCTTAGAGTTTTCATTGGGTTTGGAAAATCGTGGCCATTGTCTTTCGAATACACTTTCTGCCTTGCCCCTCCCTCACCCCCAGGGCCCCCAAAGGCACGTCTGTTCTCTGCCTGAAGTTGAGCGAGCTCACTGATGCTCCCTTCACTTTCTTCTGCCTTCTGCCTCTGCGTCTCATTTTGACAGGCTCTGTTTCTGTCCTGCAGTTTAAAATCTTCCGCACTGCGACTCCCATGCTCTGGCTAATCCCACCCAGGGCACTTTTCACCTCAGACTTGCGTTTTTCACTCTAGAAACTCAATCTGGGTCTGGGTCCTGTC